AATCCTGGGCTAGATGCACCAGTGGTATGTCTCCCCAGTGGTAAACTGGGGTGAGGGAAGAGATCATTGCTCACTGATAGGAGCATATGCTTTTCAAGCAAAGTACTGTGCTAGGTGGAGCAATGGGCTAACTCAGTGTAAGGTAGTGTCATATGTTCATACACACACCAAAGCATCTTCCCACTTGCAGCAACCAACCTTCCTTGCTGCTGACCTTATTTCTGTCCTGTTATTTGCCAACACGTTCTATCCTTGTCAGTACCAATGTTTCAGATTTGATCAGGGCAAAATATTAAGCATGTATGGGCTGCACTGAGCCTGGCACCAGACTGGTGAGCGAGGGATTTGAACCTCCCACTTCCCAAAGAAAGCATCATTACCAACCCTCCACACTCCTGCTCATCAGTGGAATCAGTATTAAACTGTAGAGTCACCCAAACAACAAAATAAGGGCAATTGTGTCCTGAGCACGTTAGATAAACTACAAAAGTTTGAGGAGCTAACTCTTACGGGGAACACTGTTTTCTCTCAAGATGCCCAAAGGCTTCCAAAATTGAGGGACACCCCGCTGCACTCATACTAGGAAAGGTTGGCATCTGTTTGTGTCTTGAGGTAAAAATGACCTTCTAAACAAGAGGATAACATTCCTGGAGTCTTCTAAGCTCCAGGCTTTATTTGGGAGTCTGGCCAAATCCTAATACTATTAGTATTAGCTCTTATTGACTTGCAAAGGACCCTGCCAGGATTGCAAAGACCCTGTGTGCCAACTCTTCATCAGCACCTTCCAATGCAGATTTCTGAGGACATGCTGCTCTATTTTGTATGGAGCACATAAGGGAAAGTTTGAGGTCGTACCACTATTCTTTCTAGACAGAAAGAAGTACTCTGTCTGCCAAGACTGGGTGAAAATATATGGGGGCCTTGTTTTATGTCAGGCCCTCCAGATCATGAGGACTTCCAGATATAGCTGGACTACAGCTCCCAACATCCTAGACTACTAGCCATGCTGGTGGGAGCCAACGGTGGCCAGGAGTCCAAAAACATCTGGAGGGCCACCGGTTCCTTGCCCCAGGCTGGAAGCATACATGTCCTTTGGTACCACATTTGAACAAGCCAGAGTGGTATTCTGATTGAAGCGTCTTAAGGGGGATTCTAACTGCATTTAGGAACACTGTGTGATTAGGGAAGTTGTGTATCCTAAACAGCAGAGGATTCTGCACTATTTTGAAATGTCTTCCGTTTGAAAGGCTGTCCATTCAAGTGTGGCTTAAAGGTAAAGGACCAGAAGGAGATATCACGAAGGTCTTACAGTTAGCACCCTAGCAGCAGACTGAGCAAGCACAGGTCACCTAGGCATAGCTTTCCCAATTATTGAGGATTATTTGCTGTATTTCTATTTAAACTGTATAAATTATTTCTAAAATTTGCATCTATACATATGATTCATGTATGCAAATCTCATGCAAATTATTTCCTCTTTATTTGGCTATATGCACCTAGTGCAGTCTAGGTTCCTAATTAAAGGGAGGATTCTAATTGTATTTGCCTGAGCGCTATTAATTAATTTGTGTATCACTTCCCATAAAACACCTCAAAGCAATTTGGCAATAAGAAACATCAACTTACTATATATATATATCCATTACAAGTACAGACTCCACTTAAGTGGCTTGTTGGAAAAGGAAGTTGTTGCTTGTTGCTGAAAAGATAAAAGACAACACCTGTCTGGTTTACAATGGGAGCAGACCTTCAAACTCCACTTCCAGAAGTTGGGAAAACAGGAGCATGGATTGATTGTTATGTAGGGGGGCACTGAGGGCTGAGCTGGCATGCACACTCCCACATCCATTGCATAGTCATACAAATAGCAGAACAGGGCTCTTTTTACACCTGTATGGAACCACACCTTTTGAGTGAAGCTGATCCCACTAGTATCCTGAAACACCTGTGGAGATGCTGCCAGTCATAAGTCACAGTACTAGGCTAGGTTGACAAATAGTCTGACCTGGTATAAAGCAGCAGTACAAATTTGGCTACCTGGGAACAATCCCCCCCCCCAATGTTCATCTCAAGTAACACGAACTCTGAACTAGGTTAGGAACTGGATCATTTCTCATCACATAGTAAGAAGAATAGCTCAAAACAACAGATTCCCTAATCGTTATCTTCTGTGAAGCTAGGAAGCTCAGGATAAAATGAATACAGTGGTGCCCCGCAAGACGAATGCCTCGCAAGACGGAAAAACCGCTAGACGAAAGGGTTTTCCGTTTTGAAGTTGCTTCGCAGGACGAATTCCCCTATGGGCTTGCTTCGCAAGACGAAAATACCTTGCGAGTCTTGAGGTTTTTAATTCGCTTTTCCCCCCCTTTATCTAATCTGCTAAGCCTTTAATAGCCTTTAATAGCCTTTTAGCAGCTAATCCCCTAAGCCTTTAAGCCTTTAATAGCCGCTAAACCGCTAATAGCGCTAATAGCGCTAATCCGTCAATGGGCTTGCTTCGCAAGACGAAAAAACCGCTAGACGAAGACTCTCGCGGAACGGATTAATTTCGTCTTGCGAGGCACCACTGTACATGTTAGATTCTAAAAGAGTTCTAATATTCCAGAATAAGAGTGAAAAGAGTATACAACAAAAATAGTCCCAAACTGAGCTGTCCTGTACAAGGAGGCAGGGTTGATAATGTGATACTTGGGCAAAAAGGCCAGGGAGCAGCGGTTCTCAACCTGTGGGTCCCCAGATGTTGTTGGACTACAACTCCCATCATCCCTGAGCTCTGGCCTTGCTAGCTAGGGATGATGGGAGTTGTAGTCCAACAACATCTGGGGACCCACAGGTTGAGAACCGCTGCTTAGGGCAAGGGAGGACAGTGGGCCACAAAAGGGACCAAATGTCAGAACAAACTCATAGTTGCCACTGCAACGTTGTTCCAACACAACCTAACCTGCCACTATCCCGTCAACAGATCCTGTGGAGGATGGATGTGGGAGGAACCACACACATACAATTTAGCTTCGCTTGCAGCCGTGTAAGAAACGGGGCAGAATTCATCAACCTGGAGCCCTACTGTACATGTGTTTGCTAAGCATATGCATTAAGCCACAATGACTTAATGGCCCGGAGTGATTTTTACCAGCTCCACCTGCTATGCCAGCTATGATGGTTCCTGGAGCAAAACAGCCTGACCATAGTGGTCCATGCAGACTTGACCACTGTCACATGGTTTATGTGGGACTTCCCTTGTATCTGGTCTGGGAGATAAACTAATATGCAGAATTCAGCAGCCACACTGCTCACAGGAGAAGGTTACTAGTTGCAAAGAGCACTGCACTGTTTGCTGATTTGCTGCTGAGTCAGGTTTAGTGTTCTTGTGTTTATTCACAAAGCCCTAAACAGGTTGGGCCCAAAGAATGTAAGAACTGCCTGATCACCAAGCTCCTCTGATGGGAAATTCTGCTGGTTCGTCTGATCCCTTAGGTTCAGTTGGTCTTGACCAGGGACCAAGCCTTCAATGGACCTAGCCTACATTCATTACTTTACCCACTTTTGCCCCTGGACCTGCCCACCTGCACGTGGCACCCCCCAAATGGTGACTACAGGGGAATGTGGGCCTCAGGCTGAAAAAGGTTCCCTACTCCTGGTGTACAGAATCATAGAGTTGGAAGGGGACCACAAAGGTCATTTAGTTCAACCGCCTGCAATGCAGGAAACCTTTTGCCCAACATGGGGCTCGAACCCACAACCCTAAAATTCAGAATCTCATGCTCTGTTATATGGAACAAAGGCCAATCAGCTGGATGCCCTACTCCAACTGAAATTCAAGGGCACGAGCCAGCTTTGTAAGGCCACAGAAGGTCACATTATACATATTGTACATTAAGTACTATAATCTCAAGAGATCCTTCACTGAACCACCCATGCGTTCCCTTTCAATATCACACGCACACACGAAAATTCACAACAGCAGGCTGAGTATTTCAAAACGATTCTCCTGTCACATGAAACAGCTCTTTTGGGTGGAAATTGCACAGAGCAGTTGGGGAGAGTAAGAAGCCTGCACCTAATGCCTCGTGGACTGCTTTTACAGAAAATGCAGATAATGAAAACAATTGTGTTAGCTTTAAAACAATCACAGTAGAGTATATGCCATCACGCTGCAGCGCTTCCAGGTATCTGCTGGATTTTTGTCCGACTAGCAAACCAAGGATGAAATGGGGTGGAGAGAGGAAAGAGTTATGGGAAGAACACATTTCAATATATATACCTCTCCCTATCCAATATACAACCAAATTGCCAGCATAAGGGCCCATAAATAATCACTGCAGAAACAGAGTAAATGTGGGATCATGAATAAGTTTCATGCCCAATGCATGCTCTGCCTGCTTGCTTGATGGACGTGAAGGGCAGGCACTGAATTAACCCCATTGGATTTAAAAGCATGTGCTGGCAGCGAAGGGTTGTCCTTTTGAAAGGCATAGGGATGGAAAGGGCGATCAATCTCAATTAACAATTTTAAACACCGTTGGAGGGCACTTTGCCCAGCAAAAGTTTCCAGAAACCACTACAATTTTGAAAAGTGTGCATGTCCGAAGTCAATTAAGTCACGTGAAAACAGAAACACTGGCATCTCGGACTTCCACATTGCCAATCTTTCCAGGGACTATGAAAATATAAATTTGTGCCTACATGCATCTCATTCAATATTCATCCATCCATCCAGAGCCCTGCTGGATCAGGCTTATCTAGTCCATCACCCTGTTCTCACACTGGCCAACCAGGTGCCTGTGGGAAACTAATGAGCAGCACATGAGCACAAGAGCCTGTGGTTTCCAGCACCTGGTATTCAGATGCACAGCAGAGCCACCACAGCTAGTTGTTTCTGACAGCCCTCTCCCTCCACAAATTTCTCCAATCCTCTCTCAAAGTCATCCATAGAATTGTAGACTCGGAAGGGATCCCAAGGGACATCTAGTCCAACCCCCAGCAAGGCAGGAATATGCACATGGCCCCTATGGGGATCCAACCTGCTACCCTGACATTATCAGCACCACGCTCTAACCGACTGAGCTAACTGACCAAGTTGGTGGCCATCGCTGGCTCACTGTGGCAGGGAGTTCCATCGTTTGAAGCAGAGATGCCTACCAACAAAGCCTCAAAGGGGTTTATATTAAAAAAGGATAAAACAGTAAAATTTTCAGCAATTATTATTTTTTAAATAAGAGCCAACCAAAAGCAAACTATTATCTTGTGTATCTATAGAAAACATACAGGCTTCATCCAAGAGCATCCCACAGGTGAGTTGGTTAGGGCTGGTTGCACATAGACTTTCTCCCCCCGTTTCTCTCCCCCCCCCTTCTTTGGGGGCTATGCAATAAGGAGGAACAACCAAAGCACCCGAGGGCTCCCCCCTCCTTTCCTTTTTACCTGATAGACGTCCCTTATCCCGCACCACGTCCTCAGCGCCTGGTGGCATCCCCTCACCCGCTGCGTGTACCACCTCCTCAGCGTCGACACCGTCAGGTTCCAGACGAAGCGGCTCCCGCTGAAGAGCAGGTCCTCCACTCCGCACATGAACACCGAAGCCATGACTTTGCCACTTCGGAGGGGGACCTCTCACTCTCTTTCTCAGAGCCACGCTTCTTCCTCCTCTTCTCCTCTCCCTTGCGCCTTGGCTCTCAAACAGTCCGGTTAATAAGAATAACAACAAGGCGCTCCTTCTGCTATTGCAGGCTCATGCTACACCGCGCCGAGCAAGGGGAGGCGCGCTTCGCGGAGAGGCCGGGGGCCGGAGCCTCTCGCACAAACTCCTCATTCACGCGCCGCTTCCTGGGCAGACCTCCCAGACGCTGCCCCGGCGCGCCTTGAAGCCCAGCCAAGGGCTGAAGCCGAGGCGGCGGCAGCGGTAGCTCCACACAGCCCAGCCTTGTGTCCTTCTTAACAGCTTATATAAATCTCCGCTAAGCTTCAGCAGCTACCACTACGGGTTCTAATTAAAAGTTTAACCCGTTTTGTGAGCGGGGAGCGCGTCTCTTTTCTCTCTCTCCCCCCCTCTCGCTTTCTCTCTCTCACACAAGTAGCTTATGTGAATACTCCTGAGCTTGCTCCCCCCACGAGGAAAGGGAGAAAAGAGAGACTACAAGCAATTCCTGTCAAGTACTTCCAGACTCCGTTTCCCTCCTAAATGCTCTTATAATACGGAAGCGCGCGCCTGCGCGCACCCACCCTCTCCAAGGAGAAAGCGTAGAAAAATACCTCATAAGCCACCTTCAACTTTTTTTGTGTGGAAGTTATAACGCTGTCACCCTTTTCTTTTCAGTCAGTTAATAAGGGGCCTGACATTTATTTCCGTCTCTTTCTCACACATAACTCTCAGAACTTTTGAAACCTAAAGCATCTTCTGCTTGTGGTGGTGAGGAGAATCTCCCTCACGCGCAGAATACTGTAATACCTTAGTGAATGTTTCCTGCCTCTCATTCTCTCTCTCTCTCTCTCTGGTATTCCCTATTTTTGAAACACACGCACTCGGAGAAAGCCGCCTCGCTAGCTAAGAAAAATGAGCGTCGATTTGGGTTCTCCTCCGTTTAAACTGACGGTAATCCTATTAAAACGCAGCATGCGGGGCACGAGAAAAACAGAGCCGCCTCACGCACGCTGAGCCCTTTCACCAAGCAGGCCACAAGTAAATAAACACTCTGTGAAATAATAGCCCACAAGAGAATCCCAGGCTTGCCTCAGTAGTTGGTATAAAATTAGGCTGCCAAAGCCCAGCCCTTTGGAGAATTAAACCGTTAGTGCTAGACGGGAAGGAGGGGGGTGGGGACGACTGCATTTCATTTTACAGGCCATTCCCTGTAAGGCTCTAAAGTGGGGAGGGCAGTTGTTAGTTGCTGGCAGGAGAGGAAGAAAACTCATCTTTTTAAACGATTACTCATGGGATTTGGAGTTTTCTAAGCTTTTGAGGTATTGGAGAGGGCGGGGCAAGACAGCTTTCCTTGAAGCGTTTCCCTACCAAACAGTGAAAATAAACTGTATAATTCAAGAAAATTATTTAAAATTTAAAAAGAAAAAGAAAATAAACTGTATAGGTTGCAATATAGACGCAAAAAGTGAGGTGATAAGAGGAAGAGGAGGTTGCTGGGGAGGACCACAGTAGTGCAAGGCAGAATCAATTTGATTTTTGTTTGTTGCGTTTCTATCCCACTTTCTCTCCAAGGAGCTCGAGTGCATGGTTCTCCCCTGCCTCACCTAATCCCCGTAACAACAACCCTGTGAGGTAGGTTAGGATGAGAGGCCACGGCTAGCCCAAGGTCACCCAGTGAGCTTCATGGCCAAATGGGGATTATGAACTCTCAAGTCTTAGTCCGACGGTGTAACCATTACGCTGCACTGGCTCTTGACAAAGAGGAGGGAGCTGGAATAGAAGCCTTAAGGAACGGATACTGAGTGGTACCATGCCACTTCCTAACATTCAGTCAAATTCCCTGCATGTTTTTGGACACACGTCCATTATTTTGTGCACAAGAAAAAATTACTTGGCACTCCCTGCCTGTTGACACCAGGCAGGAACCTTCAATGTACTCTTCTCGGCCTTGGCTTAAAACATTTTTCTTTAAGCCAACCCTATCCGGACATATAGGGACGTGGGTGGCGCTGTGGGTTAAACCGCAGAGCCTAGGGCTTGCCGATCAGAAGGTCGGCGGTTTGAATCCCTGCAACAGAGTGAGCTGCCGTTGCTCGGTCCCTGCTCCTGCCAACCTAACTGTTCGAAAGCACGCAGTGCAAGTAGATAAATAGGTCCCGCACCGGCGGGAAGGTAAACGGCGTTTCCATGCGCTGCTCTGGTTCGCCAGAAGTGGCTTAGTCATGCTGGCCACATAGGCCAGCTCCCTCGGCCAATAAAGCGAGATGAGCGCTGCAACCCCAGAGTTGTCCGCGACTGGACCTAATGGTCAGGGGTCCCTTTACCTTTATCTGGACATATAGAAGGCTGGCATGATGTTTGCATCCTTTTGCTTACTGTATGTTTTAATTATCTCTTGAATGTTGTTTGAATGCATTGAAGGGGGTTGGGCTAGATGACCCTTAGGGTCCTTTCCAACTCTATGAGTCTATGAGATGCCTGTTTTTTAACTGTCTTTTATTAACATTTAATTTCTTTTTGTAAACCACTTAAGATATTTTATTACGAGCAAGTGGATTTGACATCTTTCCGTAGCGCCTGTAAGACAGAGCTGTTCCGCCAGGCCTTTGGGCAGGATGCAGTTTGACTTACTTTCCTTTGTATAAAACAAACCCAAAGGAGGCCCCCAACCCGCTCACAGGTCCTTATATGCTCAGTGGAAACAGTTGGTTCTGGCAAGTATTAACAACTCTCAGCTCCAACCTGATAATTGCCACCTGTCCAGATTTTAACTTGTCTGAATTAATTTTAAGGTTATTTTAATTCATTGATGCCTGGCCTCGGCCGGGGAGGCGGGATATAAATAAAAAATATTATTATTATTATTATTATTATTATTATTATTATAGCAATATGGTTAAATAAAGTGTTGTAAACAAAATCTGCCCTTATTCCCTTATGGGGGACACAAGAGCCCTTATACAGTCCTTTGTAGGTTCTCCATCGGTAGGAGAAAATAACAGAGGCCAACCAGAGAATACTGAGAAGCAAAGCAGCTAGTAAGCCTGATTTTTATTAAACTGTTGCAACAGGGTGCTCCCCTCACATGCAGGACAAAGGAGGAGGACCCAGAACAAAGGTGTGCCTGCCCTTATTTAGACATTTTAAATTCCCTTCCCTGGAGCTCAAGACCATCCCTCCATACATCTTACATACATCACAGAAGAGGCGGTCTACAACAGAAATTTGAATGTTGTTGTTTTTCCTGTCTGCCAGGTTATCTGATAATGCCTTATCTGATTGCCTTTCCTGGTAGTCTGCCCATTCCTTTGAGATGGTGATTACCCAATTCCTGAGACAATGGGAAGGTTCCCTCACCCCCTCCCTCCTTGCAGAGAAAACATTTGGTCAGTTTGGGAGTCAAAATGGTTTCAAGACGGTCTTCCTATGCTGCTCCAGACATGTGGTCTACATATCTATGTGCGTGCTTGGTTGGTACATTTATGAACATTTATTATATATATAAAAGACCTTAATTTTTTTATTACAAAAGCCAACAAGCTACTTCCATCAGCCTTCACCAGCTTGGTGCCCTCCAGATATGTTGGGACTCTGAAACACCCAACAGCCCCAGATGGTGTCATCAAAAGACAGGGATGACCGGATTTGGAGTCTAACATATCTGAAGGCACCACATTCAAGAAGACTGCCTTAAATGAACATGCACAGGGAGGAAGAGGCATGAGCCTGATAGCTCTACTTCCTGTACCATCACCCTCCAGGGTTGACTGTCTGCAGTGGAGAAGCCCTTTTATGTGTGGAGGTTCCCTGGATGTTTTAGAACACTGAATTTCTGGGGTTCTAAACCACCAAGGGAGCTTCAGACAGTAGCCCTCCAACTCAGGGAGGATGGCTGGAACAGCGATTGTGGGTGGAGCTTCTGTACCTTCCCTTCATGTGTTGATTTAAGTATTCATTCACATTGTGAACTTTCATGAGATCTAATTTATTTTATAATCATTAATAATAAATTAATAAGTCATATAGAAATGCCTAAATAGGGCTAGTGGCACACCTGGTTTCGAACTGGATGGGGTACTGCATGTTAAGATTATTGCATTTTGCAGGGGGTTGCGCTAGATGACCCTCGGGTCCCTTTCAACTCTACAATTCTGATTCTATGAAATATGAGATTGTCATATTTCACATTGTCACATTCTTACATTTTAACGTGGATACATTCCTAGAAATCTGGTTCTGCTTTCTAGGAATCAAGGTCCAAGGAAAAGAAAACCCACAGAGGGCCAGAAAAACTTTATTATGTAAGTTGATTAGCACAATTAATACTTATATTTGATTAATGGTGACATCTGTAATTGTTTAATGCCTCAAATTTGCCTGTTACTTATGCTGTTTGTGTTTTTCATTAAAATGCTACATTATACCAGATCAGACTT